TGGCCCATCTATGCTGCCCAGGACCCAGCGCTGTTAAACACTCTTATCACCTCATCGGTCTTATCTCCTGCGATCCCTGCCAACATTTGGAGTCTGTCAATGGGAACAAGAATACACCTTAAAAGGTGCCACAAATGAACAGAAAGAAGAGGTGATGCGGGGCAAAGAATACCTTGAAATAAAGAGTGCATGTGCTATCCCTCAAAAGGGAGAGCTTGGTGTGTATCTTTTTCTGCTTTTCACGCTCACGGTGCCTGCGCTTGGAGTTGTGATTGAAGGCACAGAGATGAGGTCTTGGTGCGGACCAGCACTCGAGGAGGTGTGGGGGTCCTGTGCAGACCCTCACAGCTGGTGTGGGGGGCTGTCCAGCCCCAGCTTCATCACCCATAAGGGGTCTAGCTGGACCAAAGTTCACCCAGGTAACCAGCACGGTTTTGTTTTTCCTCTTTCTGTACTTCTGCTGCATAAAACACGTGAGATGGAGGAAGAGACAGTGTCTCCCTTAGGGCCACCCTCCTGATCGCAGAAGTTTCTGCACGCAGCTTGGAGAGCAAGTGAGGCACGTCTGGAAGATCGATGTTTATATAACACTGTTTTAAAAACTGTCCTGTGAAACCAGCAGTCAAACACTGGCACGTCAACACATGTAAGATCTGCTTGCCATGGCAGGGCAGTGAGAATCGTGTTTTATAGCATATGCAGCATCTCAGCAGGGCTGAGCCGAGCCATTTCCGTGTCTCTGCCCCTCAGTCCAAAAACCTTGTGTTAGGTTAAGCAGGGTACAGAAATTCGCAAAGAATGAACATGGGATGGCAACACCAATATAATCCTATCACTTATAAGACAAAATTGACATGCAGTAGCCATAGTACCACTTAACGGATAAGACAGTTGGTCCATCTGCGCTCGGTCCATCTTCTCTCATTTCTCTTGCTTAAATTTCTCAGGAGCAGGACACAATCCTGTTATCCAATAAGTTACCCACTGGTAGCTGGATTTTCATTGAGTGACATCTGTCGCAAACCGTGGACGTAGGAGGTACTGGTGATTTTGTAGCGTCTTTGTTCTGATGGTTCTGGTAGATGTGGATGTTTGGTTTTATTTTTGAAGTCTTTGGAAATGCTCTCATCTCCATTGAAGGCTGTACAGCTTGGCTGTCATCCTGCTGTGGCCAGATGTGCCAGGAGGCTGTAGAAGGCACCAGGGATGGCACGCAGCATTAGGAAGCAAGAAGAAAGCTTGGAATCAATCTGTTGTTGGTCGGTAACTTGCATGTGTGGGACTAAGCAATCCTATATTTGAGTGTGTAATGGTCTTCCCTTCCTTTCTGGTCATCTTCTGTCTGCCGATATGGATTCTGCCATTTCCATAAGATCATGAGCTCCTTTTTATAGAGAGGGTATTGCTAAAAGGTCTCTGGAACAGGTACCTGCCAGTGCCTTACAAGCTGAAAGCAAAGCTTTCCAGAAACACATATTACTGCTTTGAGCCTGGCCTTTTTCCCCTTTTGTGTTGAAGTTCACTGAATCAGAGCTCTGATTTCCTCCTTTTTAACCTGTCACATTGACATTATTCCAGCTGATGTGTGATGTTAAAAAGACATTTCTCGGAGGCAACCCGGCATAGAGCAGAGCCCAGCATTGGCCCCGGAGCTGCCCACCTCTTCTTCTGCACTCCCTGGCATCAGCTCCCCTACTTAACACTGTCTCTTTGTGCTCCTGTCATGCTACAGAAGCTCATATTGGGGAAAAAAAAGTCTCTAATTTCTTTTAACATGCCATAGCACAGAAATGATAATGCACCGTGATTACCTAACTTTCCATAGGCACAGTTTGGAAATAACTGGTTACAGTATTCAGGTTTTTATGTTACAGATATATCAGATGATTGGTTTCAGTGTGTATCGGTAGACTCTGGGTCTTGTTGTACTTGCAGCTCTGTATGATTTACATTTCTGTAATCTGAAAGCTAAATTGGAGAGAGAAGAAGTAAACAAATATGATAAACATCCCCCTCCAACTCGGTGCTTTGTATAAAATAAACCAACAAAAATCCTGATGCGTTTCAGTGGAGAAAATTAGCTGCCCCTGCTTGCAAACCAGATGAGCAAACGGTGCATCTGATCACTGCCGGCATCTTTGCGTTCCTTCTGGCTGCAGAGGATGCACTCCTGGCTGCAACGTGGCAATCTGGTGCCAGCGATCCCGGGCTGGCTGGTGACATTTGCTAGTGCCCTGGGCAGGGTGCAGCCGGGTAAGGACAGAGGCTGTGCAGGCTGCCCCTGTCCGCTCGCTGTTTGGGGTCATTTGTCCCAACAGAGGCATGTCCTGGGAGAAAGGCACACCGCACCTTGCCTAGGATGCTCCAGAAACCACTGCTTTCTGTTGCACATTGGGAAATATCCCTTGCATCAAGGCCAGCTACAATTCATCTTAAGACCGCTTATGCGTGTCTTGTTTTGTTGTAAAACGAACATTTCCAGCGCCTGGTAGGCAATATTCGTCTCACGTAATTTCCACAATGGGAGCTGTAATCCTCACTTTCACAGCCCATCTTTCATTAGTTTCCAGGTGTGACCATTTTGCGCTGAAGGCTCAGTGTTGCCATACCTGGAGCCAAGCGCTGTGCACAGAGAAGCTGAGCGTGTCAGGCTCCAATTAGCCACAGTGCTCCAAAAAGCCAAATCAAAGAGGGATTGAGATCAGCAGCCTCCTGAGGGCATATCAAGGCCTTTAGTGAGTGACCACACTAGAGCTTTTTCCATTTACCTGGATTAAAATTTGTCACAGAGAAAATACAAGCAAATAGCATAGCATCTGAGAGGTATAACGAATAGCATTTGGCCAGCCATTTCAAAGGGGGAAAAAAAATCCACAGCATAAATAAAGTGTAAACAATGTTTGCATAACGTTGGATTAATAGTTCTCTTTAAAAACTGCACTGGGATTAAACAGACGCATTTCGTATGCTGGGACTTGCGCTCCCTTCTTAGCCCAGTAAATGCCAGAAAGTACATCTAAGAGAAATAAAAAGCCTTGTTAGCCCAAAGCCTGCTGCTGAAGCAGCAGTGCTTTACACAGGCTTTTGGAAGAGGAACAAGTGACTGTAGTATTCCTGGAGCAGTCCTAGGTATTTTATAAGGAGTTTTGCAGCAAAGCATTCCCATGGAAAGCGATTTCTGCTGCATGTCTCCAATCCCATTCACCTGGGGGTTTTGTCGGCTACAGTTTTGAAAGCGGCAATATGGAGGGGGGCTGGTTTCCCATCCCCCAGCACACACACAACCTGCATATTTGAAAGCCTGCCTTTCTAATAACTCATTCGTAGCACTCACGCCTCTTCTTCCCCAGCCCTGCTCCATATTTTGCTGAAGTCAGTGCCGGCCCTGTCACTCCTCCAAGCAGGCACGTGCTTAAGGACCGCTCAGGGGCTCTGGCTCAGATCAGTTACCTTATTAGTGTGGAATAATCAATGGATGCCGTCCTTGATTCCTTTAGTTGTTTGGTTTGCGGTATCTTCTAATGACACCCACTTGGATTATGCTCCCCACAATTTGGGCAGAAATAGGCTCCCAAAATGAGGTGCCTCCAAATGTTGGCATGAGTGCCACGAATGGGGGGCATAGCAGCATGTGGAAGGAAAAATCTGACCCCCCACCTTTTGGTTGGAAAAGACGTGAAATGGATGTTTAGGCAGCAAATGCCTGTTACATCTGGCTTTTCTCTTCTGTCCCTGTTGCTCCTGTGGTTGTTGTGTTGGTGTGGTGTCCCAGAGCAAAGTGTGGCACCTCCCACCCTGAAACACAAGTCATTCCTAGTTCCTCACCTGAACAGGGTTAATACCAAACAGAATAACAGGCTAGAAAACCAGTAGTCTCCAAACAGCTATGAGTGGGATTTCTACCTGTTTTCCTGTTCTTTTCCCTTTTGGCTGCTCCAGAATCCACAGCAGGCTGTAGAATTTGCACCTTAATCCCAAAGATGATGGTAATTAAAAACTTAAGTCTCCATAAACAGATGCAAATAAATTAAGGAGGCAAAGAACTGAATTAGAGGCTAATCCTGGTGCGGTAGTGAAAGCAAAGGGGCCAGTAATTCTTTCCTTCTGTTATTTCACCTGTTCTTGTGGCAGGGCAAGGCTGCGGCATGGTGAGGTGCCTGGGTTTGCACTGCTGGACGTGCCACGTGAGCACCAACCGCTCACCAGCAAAGCTCTGCCTGTGCTTGCCGATTCTGGGAAGGGGACACACTTGCAGCTGATGCAGTGCGTATGTGTTAGCTTGAAGAGGGAGCTGTGTGCCAATGTCTTCAAATCATGCGGTTTGCTTTGCCCTTGCGCTGCAGGTGTTTCACAAAGATGAGTTCAGCAACCAGCTCGCATTCCCAAGCACTGTGCCTCGCCCTTTCCTCACCCTCATCCTGCAGGGATGCCAGCAGCCCAACAGAACTTACTTGGGCTTTGGGTCCACCTTTGGCCAGACCTGAATTCTGAAGAGCAGGGACCTAAGATTTATTCAGGTGGAAGAAAAGTGGGGGTTTTTTTCCCCTGTGTGCTCCCTTGTGCTGAAGAGTGTGGCGCGCTGAGCTGTGCCGGCATCGCGGTGCTTTACCCTTCTCTTGAGTAGTTGGCCAAGGCTGGGCTTGCACAGAAGCATCTTGCACTAAAGCATCAGGATTAGTGAGGGTCCCAAAGTAAGGCCATAGGACTGAAATCCTTCATTTTTATGGGCTGAAGTGATAACGCCGTGAACTGAATTATACTCATGTCATGACGTGATCCACGCACTCTTATGGGTGGATAGATATTGATTATCCATCAATATGGATTGATGGTGGATGATGATTCAAAACCTGACTGCCAGGTAGCTGGGTGTCCCGGGCTGTTTATCTAGTCAGTTAAAATATTGCTGTGATTCAGTTTGTTTATTTAAAACTGGGATTTACTTGTATCCCCACGACGTTACCTATACCTCTAAAAGCAAGTCTCTCTCTCTTTTTCAGGATGGGGAAGGCCAGACTGCACTCCATTACGGTAAGCTGCCTTTCAGCTTGGTTGTTTCCTCATAATAGGATGGATTTGCAGCTGAAGTAAATGGTCTACGTGCAGAAAGCAAATTTCAGCAGAAATATGAGGAGGGAAGCTGGATTTGATTAACCAGCGGCTACCCCCACTGGCAAATCCCAGCATGGTATGAATAGGAGCCCTGGGAGAAACAGCAAGGAAGACTGCTGTCCTCCCTTTGTTCTCCTCTGCAAATGTCACCTTAAAGCCTTCCTTTTCCCCCAATTAATGATGCACTTTCTGCAGTTTTTCCTGTGCGCCTATGTGTCTCCAGGATGCAGTTGTACTACCTCCAGGCCCAGGAGTGGCTCTGGTTAGGGGATGCTAAGGTTGAGAGGAGAGTCTGTACTGGCTTTAACCAGGTTATGCAGGTAAGGGGAAGGGAAGGAGCAAGGTGGCCTTCACCTCCACACGTCCTGGTGACAAACCTGTGTGATCACAGCTGAGAGAGCAGCAGCTTCTCTACTACCAAAACCAGAAGAGCAAAGTTACAGATTGTGTCCCTCCTACAATTACATGCTAATTAGATATGAGATTTTGTAGCAATCCTTTTAATTGAAAGATTGCTCTATCTCCAAATGAGAGAAGTAGAGACTAAAGTGACACACGCAGTGCCGATGTGCAGGGAATAGGAAGAAAGTATCGATTTAATCTGTATCATAATTTTTTCCAAAATTAAGACATACCAGTTCTTATTTTGTACTCTCTCTTGATGCCTGTCACTATGTAATTAAGAGCATACTTGTCATTCTGAAGTGTTTGTGTCTTTTCCTCTCTTATGATCTTTCCACAAGGACATTAGCAGGATGGCAAAATTGCTTTGCAGACCATCAGTCCAAAGCACAGCATTTGGATCTGGATCTAAACTACCAGATTCCACGGCCCCTGAACCGAGACTGTAATTACAATAATGTATGATTTCTCCCCGTGTGATCTTTCCTGTAGGATACTTTATTTTTCAAATTCTTACCATTCTGACTGAAGTAGCAAATGTGTTGCTTAGTGCAGCAGTGTCCACAGAATGACAGCACTTAATGCCACGTTGCCTCTTCCTCTGCCCAGCTCTTTCCACATTTTGGGCTTTCTCTCTCCTGGGGAGATGCTCTCCCCTGTTCCCCACTCTGGCACTGACATCTGCCTACCGAGGGGTGCGCAGTGGATTAGAGTAGGTTGTCCAAAAGCATAGTGTGTGTGTAAGTTATCCAAGAGCACCTGCTTCAAGCAAGTTCAATACGTGAAAGTAGAGGATGGATGCATCACCTCAATGTAAATTATGTGCAGGTGGATCCCTCTGGCTGGTGGTTGAAGCAGGTTGTTTAACACAAGCAAACAAACATAACTGATTTAATTAACATTATTTCAGAAATGTTTTTTCTGATCCACCCTGCCAGCTCAGTTGTTTCAATAATGACAGTTTACCAGGTTTTTTTTCCTGAATGTTTTAAGTGTTAAAATTTTTTATTCCCCTTGAGTATTATCCAACCTCCCCTCCCTATATGTCATCTTTGGGAAAGCCTCTCTGGGTCACTGGCACGCAGGTCTGGCATGCCCGTGGGTGCCCTGCTGTCCCTGGCTGACCATCGCTGCACCCAGGCTGTCCTCATTCCCTTACCTGGCTGATCTGGTCATAAATCACCCCGATCTTGAAAATAGTTTGTTAAATGAGTGAATGGGTTTGATTCAAGTGGCTATTGGCCTAAAACTAGAACTCACTGAAACTCTCGTGATATCATCTCGGTAAGCGCTCCCTAACCAAGCCATTAATTGCAGCAGAGAGACATGAGAGCTTGTATGAAAACTGTCTCTGGCAGTGCTGAGCGGAGCAGTGCCTTTACAAGGCCATCCCTTTTGTTAGAGGCTGTTCAGGGAAGGGTTAAATCCCATGAGCAAGGCCAGCAAGGCGGCCACTGCTTTTAGGGTGTCTCCATCCCTTTTTATGAGCCAGCGTGGCCTGACAGCTGTCCTTGTGGTGACAGCTCTCCTGATTACAGCCGGTGTCAAACTGCATCCTGCTGTGGGTTATAAATCCTGCCTCCTTCCGATTGGCGCCGACCCCGGGTTTAATCGGAGGTTAAGTGGAGGCCAGCCGGCAGCGCGGTCCGAAGGCACCGGCTCACAGGTGGGACCCACCACCGGACCTGCTGTCCTCCAGGCTGGAGGCAGCCGTCGGTGCTGTGTTGATCGGTCTGAGCACAAGTCTCCCCTCTAAACGGCCCGTTAGTCTTCGGCTCCTCTCCATCCATCCATCCATCCATCCACCCACCCACTGTGAATACTAAAATCATTGCTGCTGCCTCTCCCAGAGGAAATCAAGGCTTCTCCGAGCACTGGTGGCCACGTGGCCGCAGAGTGGGCAGGCTCTGTATCCTCATGGGCGCTCTGGCTTCCCTGCAAAGCACCATCTGTTCGGCTCTTTCTGTGCTGTGGCAGGGCAGTGGGAGGGGACGCTGGAGGGAAAATAAATAATAAAAAAAAAAAAAAAAAATTCATCATCTGAACCCTGAGGATTAATGGAGTCGGAAGGCGAACTGCGCTGAATGGAAATTCATCTTCACCCGTGCCAGTGTCAGGGCTGCCGCTCCAGCCCTTGACAAATCGAGGGTCCCAGGGTGCGATAAATCCAGCAGCTGTGCTCGTCCCCGGGGACGTCCCCGACCCACTCGAGGACACGGGCTGTGCCCGCTGGCAGCAGCGGACAAGGAAGCCACCTTTCCCCGTGCAGGCACCAGCTCTCTATCCCCAGAAGCTGTCACCGCAGCTTCCTTGGCACCCCTTGAAGTCTGCTTTCTGCAAGGGGCTGTGCCCCCCCGCAGCCCTTCAGCTCAGCCTTACTCACACCCCTATCTGCTTCCTCACCAACCCCTTCCCCCTTTTCTTCCCCTTTTTTTATCTTTTTCAGTATAAGCTCCAATCGTACGTCAAATTTATTTTAATTAAACATTGCTGCTTGTCCCTTTGGGTCAGTAGAAAACTGCAGAGTAATGCAAAAGACACTCTAATTACTACATTGAACGGCAAAAAAGAGTTGGTTGATTACGTTGTAAAAGCACCTGAAATAAAATTGCAACCAGTCACTACCAACGTGAGAGGAAGCTGCTGGCTTCGCAGCCTCATAAGGCAGATGGGGGCTGAGGCAGTTTTTGGCTTCACTAGGATCTGCATTGCACGGGCTTAAGGGAAAATCGAGGGACTGGGACTTCTGCTGGTATCAGCGAAGCCCAGCTCTTCTGTGTTAAGAGTTTCTCTGTTTTTCGTGGTTCTTTGGGGTTTTTTTAACACCCTTAGGCAAGGTTAGAGGGGAAGCTGAAAGCTGCCAGGCTGTGACATCCTCAGGACAGAGAAGAGTTCAGGTCAAACTTGATTCTATCTTGGCAGAGTAAATTGGGGCTGAAAAAATAGTTGCTAGCAGAGGCATGAGTTAGAAGTAACAGTGGTGTGCTGTTACTGGCTGTCCGTGTCAGCTGGTGCTCAGGGAAGGTCCGGCTGGCAGCTAAAAACCGTCCGAATTTTCCACAAGGAGCAATGATGGATGAAAGCTGGGAGCGAGGCAGTACTGACAATGTCCTGCCTGGGACGTGCTGCCAGTGGAGCCCTGCGAGGTTCAGGAGGCAGGTGAGGGGCAGGGGCTTACAATATGTTATAAATGATAAATGCGTTATAAATTCTGGGTGCAAAAGCAGGCAGGGAATGCTTTCCCAGGTGGCACTTGGGGCCTCTCTGTGGTGCTGCAGTAGCACTCTGGGGCCCATCTGTGGGCCTGTCTCCAGTCCTGGACATGAAGGAGCGTTAGCCAAACTGCACCCAGGCACCCTGTGCATCGTCCCAGGTGATGTTCACCAAACCACCCAGCTCCCAGTGGCTCCACGGCTGGGCTGCGGGCTCGGGGGTGATGGTTGCACCAGTAACACCCTCTCTCTCAGGACTTTTGGCTTTTCATTGCTTTCACTCTGTCTTTCCTCTTTCCTTTGCACTATTAAATCCAAAGGCAAGTAAGACATTGAGTACTGAACACTGCCCCGAAAAATTATCTGCTCCGCCTGGCCAGGTGCTGAGACGGCACTTCCTACCTCTGGCACAGGCGTGGGAAGTCGCCAGCTACAGCATCGCTCCAGAAATGTCCATCACCGCCGCCTCGGGTCAGGATCCCTAGACTAACCCTTCCCTTTCTCCCTCCAGCTGCTGCCTGCGAGTTTTTGGACATTGTGGAGCTGCTGCTGAAGTCGGGAGCCGACCCCACGCTCCGGGACCAGGAGGGTTGCTTGCCGGAGGAGGTGACAGACTGTAAAGCCATCACTTCGGCTCTACAGCAGCACACCGCTGGCAAGACCTAACCCTGCAGCAACGCGTGGCGGGGAGGACAGAGACACTCCGCAATAACACCCCTTCTCTTCCCCTGCTGCCCTCCGAAACGCCTTGGAGGTTCAAAGGGGAGCTTTTAGAGCACAGGGTCTGGGTGGGCTCTCCAGCACAAGGGCTGGCTGGCCGAGCGCATATCCTGGGCAGGGTTGGGATCAGGGTTTTGCATGCTCTGACATTTATCAGTATTTAGGGGGGAGGGAGCAAGGGAAGGGAGAGAGGGCCTGGAGAAGGCCCCAAGTATTGTTTTAATGTATTAAACACAAGTACTTCATCGGATGTCTCACCAGAGCAGTCTGTGCTGACTGGTCGGCTCCTCCGTGGGGAGGGGAGGGCTGCTGGGCCAGGTGAGATGCTCCCATTCGGGTTGAGGTTTGGTTTATTTTTTTTTCCCCTGGGTCCAAACAAAATATTATAAATAAAAGCAAAGCACAGTGTTGGGACGGAGCCTCCGTGTGTTTTTCTTGCAGGAGTGACTTGATTCCTTGGAAGCAATAAGGGTGGGAGGCAGCTCAGCACTGTCATAGCCCTTGGAAAGCTCTGCTTGAGCTCTTGTCCTGGGGAAAGAGGGCTACAAAAGGCAGCGGGGTAGAACAGCTGTCTGTCTGTCCCTCTAGTGCTCACCTAACACCTGTAAGACAAGTGTTTTATGGCTAACCAACCTCTCCAAGCTGACAGGACTTTTACCCCATCACACAACCACTTTGCTGAATTAAATGGTATTAAAACCCCACCTCCATCAGCAGCTCCAGGTCCTCCTGTCATGTGCCAGTCCCCAGGGTGGCTCTTTCAGGGCCGGGATTTTGTAAGAGCCAGGCATGGACATAAACATGCGCTTGCCCTGTCACCCCTGCAGGCCTGTCTTGGATACTTCATGGTCCTCTCAGCTGGCCAACTACCCAGAACAATGAGGATTTTGTGGCAATACCTCAGGAGTGAGGTGGGATGGGTGCAGGGCTTTGTGCATCCTCACTGGAATCCCCACTGGGCTGTGCCGGTGGGTCGGCCGTGGTCCAGGGGAGCTGCCGGGGATGGGTTTCTGCTTCGGGCTGGGAGGGAGTCCGCTGCGTCGGGTGGGTGTACACGGCAAGAGGAGGCCATGGCTTCCCTGCAGGGCGTTGCCATGCTGCTTGCTTTTTCCCGGACAAGGAGATTTACAGCCTGGGGGGAGTGTAGGAAATCATCGCAATGACGGGAAGCTCCTTGCCATCGAGTCCTTTCTGCAGCGCATCCAGCCTCAGGAAAATTAAGTGGGAATGTTCCCTCCGGTAAGTAATGGCTGGGCAGGAGGCATGTGTGGGTTTTGGCCCCTCACAGCAGCTGCCGGCTCCTGCCAGCTTTTGCTAACGCTGACGAAGTTTGCCGCACTGCCTTAAACGCCGCCAGCAGCCGAAGCACCACCGCAAGGCACAGGGCAGGCTCAGTGGTGGGGGTGAAATGGCTTGGGCAAGTTAACGGGCTGTATGGGCCCTTATATTGACCACATCAACTTATTTTCCAGTAACTTAATATTGGAGGGGTCTGATGGGCCAGGGAGCTGCAGTGGTCTCTGTGCTTTTGGGGAAAAAAGAAAAAAAACCTTCAGGGCTTTTTCTGAAGTTAGGAGGAAACTTGAGCTCTAAGCCTCCTCCCTATGAGTGTCCCAAAGAAACTGCCTTCCTGCTGGAGTGTGGATGGCAAAAATAAAATACATCTTGTGCATCTGTCGCAACCACCGCACACGCACCAGCCCCTCTGTGTTGGGGGACGCTTTTGCTGCCCAGTTGTGACAAGGAGTGGTGAAACGAGCCAGCAGCGGGCAGGCAGGGAGCTTGGGTACAGACATGTCTCTCCTCAGTGGCATGAAGCAAGCTGCTGATGATAAAAACATTAATGCTCTATGCTAAATGCCAGGTTTCAACACTTAGGGTCCTTGCCAGTCCCTGGGGACTGATGCTTATTCAATGGAAGCAATGCGACAGCCCCCTGACCCTTGAGCAAGGGCCCACAGTGGCTTCTGCTCTCCCTCTCCCTGCCAAGAAGACCCGCAGGCAGGTCTCATCGCAGCCACGGTGCACGGTCAAAAATGCAACGGGTGCTGACAGCAACACCAGTCGCTTTTGCGTCCAGATGTGGATGAAGCAAAGATGCCGTCCCCATTGCTGGGTTGCTCTGCACAGAGCTGCTGCGCTGGCTTTGGGATGGAGACGTGGTGGCATCAAGGTTAGGGACAAGCAAGGCCACCCTTGTGCAGTGCCATAATGGACAGCCACTGCCTGGCTTGATGGACATGCTGGGTAATAAAAAAAAAAAAAAAATCTCTCTTAAAGCAGGGATGAAAAGCAGTAGCCACGATGCCCGTGCTTTCAGAGAGCACATCTGGGGGCTGAGTGCTCAGCCCTGGAGATGTTTATAGCACTTTAGGTCTGTTTGTGAGGTTGGAGCCTTTCCAAAAAAAAAAAGGGGGGGAAGGGGGGGGAATGAGAAAGACATATATTATTGTTTATAATCTGCTTTATTCAGCCAAACCTTTCCCCAGCAGCCTTGCGGATTGCTGTTTAAATCCCTCGGTGCCTTTAACTACCGATACAGAAAGTGGTTAATGTGCATTCGTCCTAAGCTTGGCATCTACTCCAGGAAATCACTTTAATTGAGAAGCATTAAATGTTAAAATGATTAAAATATAGAAAGCCAACACACCGGTGCCTGTGGAGGGGCTTGGTCCCCCCCCCAGCATGGATTTTCCATCTCACCTGTGCCCACCGAGGTGGTACAGAGCCAGGCAAATGGTGGCAGGGGACATGGCTGGGGACATGTGCCGGCTTTGCCGGTGGCGGGGGGACTGCAGGCACCCACCGCCATCGCTGCGTGGTGGCAGGAAAGCTGCGGGCATCTTGGGGTGCCATGTGGCAGGGATGGAGATGCTCACCCCAACCCTCCCCCCACCTCTCCATGCCCACAAAAAGCCAGGGCATGATAACCACTGTCGCTCGTCCCATCCAGGGATCCCGGCTCCTCCATCCAGACAAGACCCAGAGGATCCCGACCCCGAACAGGCGACAGTGCTAGAGCAGGCAATGCCGATGGTGGCCAATGCCCACCCATTGAGGAAGAAAATCCCAAAGACAGCAGCTTGCTAAAGAGCATCCCGAGTTTATTTGACACCGCTTTCCCTCGAGGCGAGGGGGTGACCGTACACATCTCATGCCAACGCACAGGAGGCAGGGTACAAAAGCAACACCCCAGGCCCGAATTCAGGGGGATTGGGGGGTCCTTTTTCCCCAAAGACATGGCAATAAATAAGGTTTTATTCTTTGAATTTTTTTTATTATTATTTTTGTTGGGTTTTATTTTTTTCCCCCAGGAAACAAGACTCTCACTTTCTGGAACTGTACAAAATTTACACAGCGAGGGGAGGGGGCGTTTGGCCTTGTCGAAGGGGGATGGAGAGCAGCGGGCACGGCTCCCCCTGACCCCCCCCCACCAGCCGCCCGCGGTGCCCGGCAAGGCCGGGGGCTTGGCACAAAGCAGCACCCAAGGCTGGGGAGGGGGGAGGCACATGGGTGCAGCTGGGACAACACCTGCAGCACCAGCACACCCAGCCAGGTGGGGCAAGGAGGGACAGGGACATACCAATGATGTGCTTTCTTGAGTGGCTTTTTTTTTTTTTTTTTTTCCCATTTTTATTCTTTTTTCCCCTTTTCTTTCGGAGCTCCCCTGCCCCAGGCTTCTGGCAGCAGCCAGCTAACTGGATCCACCACCAGCCCTCTGAGAAGGGCAGCCTGGGATCATCAGCATCACCCCAGAGCTGGAGGTGGGGGGGGTGGGCACCCCTCAGCTGGGGCATCCCTGCAGAGCTGGGCACCCCGGGCAGCGAGCGTGGAGCTGGATTTTATCCATCAGGCTGAATGCCTTCAGCCTGGCAAGGGGGGGGGTTGCAGGCTGTGCCAGGAGCAATGGGCAGGTGGCCGTCACAAACCTGGGGATGTGGGTTTTGAGAAAGGGGCTGGTACTGGGAACAGACCCCATGGGGCTCACGGGCTGTGCCAAAACCATCCAGGTCCTCCCTGGCTGCCCGCACCAGCCTTTGGTCCTGTCAGCCCCGTGGCACTGGAGAAGGGGGGTGGCTGATACCTGAGGGGTCTCACACCCCAATCCCCTCTGCTCCCCACCATCGTGCAGCTGCTTCTGCAGCTGATGAAATGCCCTTTTTCCCCTCTTTGGGGGTGGGGGGATTTATTGCAATACCCTCAGAGCAAACGTTCCCCACCTCTCCCACTCACCCTGCCCTTCCCCAGCACTTGCTGCATCTGCTCCGCACGTGCCAGCCTCGAGCATCCCGGCCGGCCCTGCCACTGCCCAGCTTGACCCTTGGGCATCTCAGGCTAGAGGCTTTTTTTTTTTTCTTTTTTAATTCCTCCCTGCTGCGCGACCGAGGTAAAACCCACAGCGACGCACCATAAGCACTCCCACATGTCTGGGGATAAATCACGGCCCCACAGCCACCGTGCGACGGCTTCGCTCCCACTGTGCCTGGAGCGGGCAGCATCCCCCCCGCCCCGGGCAGTGGGGCAATGGCCCTGCCTGGACAGGTCCCCAGCCTCGCTAAAATAAACCCTTCTACAATATAGACTTTTCTTTCCGCCGAGGCTCCGGGCAGCGCCGAGGCATGTTGCAACTCCATATCGAAAAATAACTCTTGAAAATAGCAGCGGTGCTCAGCGGGAGGGGTGCAGGGCTGGTGCGGGCACCGGGACGGATTCTGCCATCCCCGATCGTCCTTCCCTCCCGCCGGCTTACGCCATCGCACATCCCGCCGTGCCCCAGCCCCGCGCTGGAGTCCTCACCGTGCGTCCCACGTGCCGCCGACACCTCTCTTGTGCTTACACCCAAAGGCATCCGTGCCCCCCACCCCCGGCACAACCGCCCCTGGCCATCACCGATGCCGCCCCCCCACCCCTCCAGCCCTCCGGGGCCGATTCCCATGGGAAATCCTGGAAAGGTCAACCGCCGTCGGGCGCCCTCGGTGCTGCGCTTGCGGGCTGGGGGGGAGCGAGGGGGGCCGGGGCGGGGGGCGAGCGGCGCTTAGAAAGGGGGGTGATCCATGTCGTCCAGCCAAGAGGCCGGGCTGGTGGGAAAGTCTGGGTACCCGACGCTGCTCCCCGTGGAAATGTCGGAGGTGGGGCCCCCCCCGGCCATGGCCCGCAGCGTCTGACTCACCCCCTGCGCCCCGTGGGCCACCAGCCCCAGGCTGCCGTCCATGGCGTAGTCCAGCCCGTTGAGCAAGGGTGGGTGGGACGGCAGAGAGGAGATGGAGGACGGCGACTGGGGGAGGCCGTAGGGACTGCCGTCCCGCAAGTCCTGGTACGACTGTCCCGTCCCCTCCATGGAGAAGCTGCCGTTCAGCAACTGTCCGCCCGCCACGTCCCCCACGGTGCCGTAAACCCTGTTGGTGTGGCCGAGCTCGGAGAGGATCTGGTCTTCTGCCGGGGAAAGGAGGGAGAGCAGAGGGGGGGGGTCAGCGCAGGGGGGAGCCCCGCGGCCCCCCCGCCCCACGGCGGTGTCCCGCTCACCGCGGAAGCTGAGCTCGCTGTCGCTGACGCCGCAGTCCTCGGCCGAGCTCTCCTTCTCCAGCTTGCCGCCCCCGCGGCTCCTCTTGACGCTCTTGTAAAACTGGCCCCAGCGATGCCGCCCCGCGTCCTTCTTCAGCCGCTTCTCCTTGGCCCGGCGGTTCTGGAACCACACCTGGGGAGAAACGGGGATATCGCTGGCACCACGGCACACTGGCACCCCTGCATACCAGCACCCATGCAAGCCAGCACCCTGGCACCCCTACATCCCAGCGTGCCAGCACCCCTGCACTTCTTCCACCCAGCACCCCTGCAACCCCATATGCTAGCACTCATGCAACCCAGCACTCCTGCAACCCAGCATGCCAGCACCCTGGCACGCCAGCTCCCCAACACATATGCAACCCAGCTCCCACACACCATGCAAACTAGCACTCCTGCAACCCAGCATCCAGGCATCCCAGCACCCCTGCAATCCCACACGCCAGCACCCCTGCAACCTAGCATGCCTGCATCCCAGCATACCAGCACCCCAGCTCCCACACACCCATGCACCCCAGCATCCCTGCAACCCATCTCCCAGGCACCTATGCTACCCCAATACTCCTGCCATCTCTGCATCCCCTGAAGACTGGCAGCCCTGCACCGCAGCACCCCTGAAACCCAGCACCCCAGCACTCCGGTGGGACCCCTATGTCCCCCTTCACTAGCGGCAGAGTGGAGAGGGGCATCCCCGTGGCCTCACCTGCACCACCCTCATGTCGAGGCCCGTCTCAGAGGAGAGCTGCTCCCGCACGTGCCGTGCGGGCTTGGGGGAGTTTTTGTAGGCGTTCTTCAGCGTCTCCAGCTGCTTGGCCGTGATGGTGGTCCGGGGCCGCTTAGCGCCCGCCTCGGAGTCATCTGCAAGCAAAGGAGCCGGTACCAGCCCCGACCCCGACCACAGCAGCATGAGCAACCCCAAACCGCCAACCCACGCCGCTGGGGAAAAGGTCCCCAAAACCAGCCGCCCCAGAGCCCGCAGCGACACCTTCCCGCAGGTATGATGCCGGTGACATGACCCATGGGCACCCCTTGGTGTGCTGGCCCGCCTCATAGCCCTTTCAGGGTGCCTACCGTTCTGCTTGGCGGTCTCATAGTCCTCCTTGCAAACCAGCCGCCCGTCCTCCATCAGGTAGAACTCGTCGCCAGTGGCCAGTTGCCGGCTGCAGATGATGCAGGCGAAGCAGTGGAGGTGGTAGACGAAGTCCTGGGCTTTGCGGACCACCTGGGTGGGGGGGATGCCCTGCTGGCACGCTGTGCATTTGGTCCCGAAACGCCTGCAAGGAGAAGCGGGTGACCCTGAGCCCCCCGGCAAGGTGGACTTCGTCCGGAGATGGGGTGGGGACCAGGAGACAGGGCAGAGTTTCAACCAGCAATCAACCTAATTATGCATGACACTTCACACGGCAGGGGTTTATCTTCTTCACTGTGAAAGATGGGCCTAATGGAGCTGAGGAAGGTTTCATTTTAATGGTTCTTTTAACTAATGCTTATAGGCTGCCTGATTTTCCCCTGCAAGGACAGTACATATTTCATCCACATTAATACCAAATAAATTAATTACACCGCCCCGCTAGCATGATGAATCCCAGATTAATGCAGAATGATGGGGCTCTTACACCGTAATGACAGCCCGACGGGTGCGTGGGGCGTGCTGGCTTGGGGTAGGTGTGGGCCCAAGCAAGCCCACAGCACGGCTGCAAGGAGCATGCAAGAAGTGTGGAAGAAGCATGCAAGAATGGTGCAAGGACCATGCAAGGAGCATGCGAGAAGTGTGGAAGAAGCGTGCAAGGACCATGTAAGAATGGTGCAAGAAGTGTGGAAGGAACATGCAAGGAGCATGCGTCTGGCCCAGCAGCCAGCAGATCGCAGGCACTCTGCTGCAGAGAGCCTGGGGTGTCCAGGTGCACCCAGCTCATGGTTGCACCCGTGTGGGTGCAGCCCAGGCTGTGGTGGAGTGTGGTTGCCCTATGCAGGCATGAAGGCTAACACCCAGATAACACCTGGATAACACCCAGATAACACCCAGTGTACACTGAATTAACGGCGCGAGGGCGACACGTGCCACGAGGTGGTGGCAGCAACAGGAGAAAGTCAAAAATAAGTGGCTATTGCCACTGGTGTTTCCAGCATCAGCCATGTGGGCTTTGAGATTGCCGTGGGGCAGATCCCCACCTCCCACTGGCACCGCAAGGGCTCTGCTGGGGCTCTCCTGCTCCCCCCAGCACCCCTAAGCACCCCATCAGTGGGGGGCCAGGACCCTGCAGAGCTGTCCTGGCCTTGCAGCAGCAGCCCAGGCAGCAAAGCTGTCAGAATAAATCTGTCCCCTACACCTTAAACAGACCCACCTAGTACGAAGGAGGCAGTCCAGGAAAACCCAAGCCCTCTGGACCCCAGCCTCGAGGTTGCAGGGGCTGGCGGTGGCATTCAGGGGTGCCCAGGGGGTACAGCCAGCCCGGACACCTCTTGCTGCCCTCCGAGGGCTGAACATCCCCCACGGCTGCCCATGCCCTCATGCCATCTGGAAAGCCAGGGCACTGCCACCAAAGCTGCGTCCCCAAGATTGTCCCCGAGTCACACGGGTGTCACCCACGGACAGGCGGCGGGCAGCAGGCGTGAGTGGTGCCGGCACAATTTCGGCAGCTGCCCAAAGGGCTGTTGGAAGCAGAAGACGAGGAGGGAAAAACCTGTTTTGTCTCATTTTCTGGGCTTGTATCCTAAAGGGAGGTTCCCCGGACAGTTGCTGGGGACACCTCAGCTCTCCCAGAGTCAGCTGGAAGGGAGTGTGGGAGAGGGAGGGAGGGAGGAAGGGTTGGGGGGAGGGAGTGATGAAGTGATGGAGGGAATGGAGGGATCGGGAACGGATGAAGGGATGGAGGGTGGGACAGAGGGATGTACAGAGGGAGGGATAGGACAGACAGACGATTCTTCTCTGTGCCCAAGGCTGAGCCAGTGCACACTCTGCAGCCCCCATCCTCCCTCTACCCACCCACCCCCCCAGAACACTATTAAAACCATTTTAACACACACGCCCCAGCATCCCGGGGTGTTTCCACACCACCTGGGGACGGCCAAACCCAGGACAGAGCTGCACATGGCTGGGGACGAAGAGCTGCGATTTGTGGGGCGGGAAAAAACAATTAAAAAAATCAAAAAATCTGGTCTTTTCAGAAGCAGTTCCTGCATTGCAAATCTATCTCTGAAGTTGGTCTTAAATCCTCACGTCATCCGCAGGTTACCTACCCCAAAATCAATGAGTGGTTGAAAGAAAGGTGAGGCGAGAGCCTGAGCGAGTGCCGAGATGCTATTGATTGGCACCAAATAATCCAGGCAGGACCTCATCTAAGAAAGTCGCTGATCTTTCAACTCTAATTAACATTGATTACCCGCACCTTTTGGGCGACTATTTAAATGACTTGGAGATTAATAGGCTGGAAAATATCAGAAGTGAAGTGTTATTACCCAGGCTGCTTTGACCGTCGCATGTTCCCCAACTGGGAAGGAGAAATTCAAGCTGCATCTTTGGACCTGATGGCTGGTGGGGCGGAGGAGGGGGGGATGTGGGAGGCCCGAGAGCCTGGGGATGGGCAGGCAGGGAAAGTCCTGCCCGGGGATTATCATGGGGCATAATCGCCATCAGTTGGTTTAGCTGGCCGGCTGGCGGCGGGGAATGATGGGGAGAGCCGGCGTGGCCGGGGGTGAGCAGGAGATGATGGCATGGGGAGATGGCCCTGGTCCCCGAGGTGCAGCAGCTGCGTTTCAGCTGGGACCCATCATCTACACCTGGGCAGCAAAAGGCACCCGCTGGCCAGGATCCGGCCCTCCTCCCTGCAGGAGGTGTAAAGCAGCAGCCCTCTGCTTCACAGCCATTCACCGCCGGCCAAGCTGTGCCCGGTCCCAGTGCAACACCCTCTGCCATCCCTTGGGAAAGCTCCCAGATTTTGCCAGCAGCCGGGGACTAGAGCATCCCTGCTAAGAAGTCCATTCTTAACGGAAAACGGGTTGTCCTGTCCCGTGGGAGCAGGGAAAAGCCGAGGCTGGGGCATCGCACAGCTCGGAGGCAGCTGCCAACGAAATCAAATGAGGTTTTTACACTACCAGGAGCAAAAAAAAAAAAGGATTAAAAAAAAAAAAAAAAGAAGAAAAAAAAAGGTAAAAAGATGAAGGGAGAGAAATGGCATCGGCAAACCCCAGCTAGGTGAGCAAGGGGCTCGGGCAGGAGCAGGCAGTGCTGCCGCTGCCTTGCGCGGGTTTCTCCTGCCCTCTAGCTCCGATCGGAGCCGGGGCTGCTGCCGAACCACGGCGGCTCACTCTTCCATTGGCCTTTTTAAACCGGTACAGGGGAGTCAGAGGAGCATCAGGGAGATTTGGGGCCTTCGGAAGGTTCAATCCCAACAAACAGCATCCTGCGGCAGCTGTAAAGCACCGTTTCATTATTTCCACAACTTAAAAAAAGGTGAAGATTTTGGAGAAATTCCACTTAAAAATAAGAAGTTGTGTGTTTGTCTGCTTTGCGGGCGGGGGAGACGCCGCTTTTGGGGGGCCGTGCCCCCGAGTGGTACTCACTTGAAGAAGTCCTCCTTGCAGTAGACGCTGCCGGCCCGGGAGAAGCAGCGGTCGGCCAGCTGCATCTGGCAATCGGCACACTTGAGGCAGGAGCTGTGCCAGTGCCGGTCCAGGACCTTGAGGATGAACTTGTCCAGGATGTGCTGGTTGCAGCCGGCGCACTGGGGGATCTCTGGGCGGGGGGGCAGGAGAGAGATGGAGAGAAAAGCAGCGTCAGCCACCGCAGTCCCCTCGCCCCCGCGGTGCTCCCACCCAGCCAGTGTGGCCAGCAAAGCCCCGCGTTGGCTCGTGCTGGTGCTTTGCGGGGTGATGAGCTGCCGCTCCGCGCCTCGCCGGTGTCCCGGCACATCTTCCTTTGCCAACCTTCACCAAAAATCCTTCGGGGTAGCAAAACCCATGGCCCTGCCATGCACAGACACACACACACACGATGCTTTTCCCTTCTGCACCCTATTTTTCAGGCTATGCTCCCTACCACCCATTTCCCCGCCTGCCTCTCGCTCCCTCTGGGACAGCATCCCGCAGCCCCCGACCAGGGACGGACCACGAGCCGCCTGTGCTAGCCACTTTGCAACCCCCCTGCCCCGCTCCACGGTCCAACACCCATTTGGTTCCCAGGACCCTGGTTTTCACACGATGGGAACAGCATATTTCCACCCGCTTTCTGCCATCCAGCCGGAGTGTTACGGACCCCTGTCGCTGGAAAACATGGGTGAAAGCAAGGCCAGGCCAGAGCACAGCGGTGGCAAGCAGACGGAGAGCGGTGGTGGTGGGTCCTGCCCCATCCAGTGTGTGTCCCCGCCCCACTACAGCACCCACGTTGCGGGAGGGTGCTTGGCGAAGGAGGGCTTTTCCTAAGGCAGGATGTATACCCAGCCATCCAGACTACCTATACAATGTCTGCCTATAGATGGACAGCTTCTGTAGATCTGGAGAGCTGGATATTTATCTCCCTCTCTATCTGCCCATAGTTCAGAATAAACGAGAGGTGCTGTAAAAGTCTGGAGGAGAAGATTGCCCGGTAAAAGCCAGGCACATCATGCTGACACGCATGCATGAAAGAAGATTGATTTTGGGGAGGGGGGGGAAGCCATGCCCGTAGCTGGAGCATAAGAGCAGGAGAGATGTTTATGGATAAGGGCTGTCTCCCTCTCCTGCTGGAGAGCGGCTGACAGTAAATAGCACTGGGGGTGGAGGCAGTGGGGGGGGCGATTATATTTTTTTTTATGCTGCTACAAGTGCTGGGGGGGCTGAGGAGGGACCCAGTGGCCGGGTGCAGCCGGGCTGCGAGAGACAGGGGATGGGGTGGCAGGAGGAACCGGCCCCCGCATCCCCCCTGCGATGCTGCCTGCTCCGGGGGGCCGGGAGCCAGCCGGGCTGGGCATGGGGGGTCGGCGATGGGGAGAGAGAGGGAGACCTCCTGTACCCTGGCCTGGATGCTACCAGGAGGGGAAAACAGGGGGGAGAAAAAAAAAAAAGGATAAGGGGAAAAAGGGAAAAGGAAAAAAGAAAAGAGAAAAGGCAAAAGGAATAAAAGGGAAGAGGGAAAAAGGGAGGGGGAGGGAAAAAAAGGAAAAAAGGGGAGAAGGGGAAAAAAGAGAAAAAAGGGAAAAAGGGAAAAGGGGGAGAGGAGAGGGGAAAGAAATGAAATGGAAAAAGGGATGGGGAAAAGGGGGAAAAAGGGAGGGTGGAAAAGGAGGGAGGGGAGGATAAAAGGGGGAAAGGGAAGGAAAATGGGGGAAGGGAAGGAAAAAAGGGGGAAGGAAGGAAAGGGGGGAA